CACCTCCACCAGTCGGGGCTTTATGGCAAAGTGGCCCGACGGAAGCCTCTCCTCAGTGCATGACACATGAAAACCCGCATGGAGTTTGCTAAAAAACACCTGAAGGACTCCAAGATGGTGAGAAACAAGATTCTCTGGTCTGATGAGACCAAGATAGAACTTTTTGGCCTTAATTCAATCAATTCATTAATGCAATCGAGGGAAGGATGAATGCGGCCAAGTACTGGGATATCCTGGACGAAAACCTTCTCCAGAGTGCTCAGGACCTCAGACTGGGCTGAAGGTTCACCTTCCAACAAGACAATGGCCCTAAGCACACAGCTAAAATAACGAAGGAGTGGCTTCACAACAACTCTGTGACTGTTCTTGAATGGGCCAGCCAGAGCCCTGACTTAAACCCAATTGAGCATCTCTGGAGAGACCTGAAAATGGCTGTCCACCAACGTTTACCATCCAACCTTACAGAACTGGAGAGGATCTGCAAGGAGGAATGGCAGAGGATCCCCAAATGCAGGTGTGAACTTGTTGCATCATTCCCAAAAAGACTCATGGCTGTATTAGCTCAAAAGGGTGCTTCTACTAAATACTGAGCAAAGGGTCTGAATACTTATGACCATGTGATATTTCAGTTTTTCTTTTTTAATAAATCTGCAAAAATGTCAAAAATTCTGTGTTTTTCTGTCAATATGGGGTGCTGTGTGTACATTAATGAGGAAAAAAAATGAACTTAAATGATTTTAGCATATGGCTGCAATATAACAAAGAGTGAAAAATTTAAGGGGGTCTGAATACTTTCCGTACCCACTGTATGTACTACATGCAGCTGACTTTTGAGGTGGAATCATTCAATAACTAAAATCTTGTTATTGAGGTCGACAAATTTAAAAATATTCAATAACATGAATATTTTTAAATCTAGTCTATTAGGCATGCAGCCTAGATCCCTGTTCCGCCTACTGTATATCATTGTTTTCTTGTTAAAACGCAGGTCACCAATTAACTCTACCTTGTCTCCTTATGCTCTAGCGAGACGATCAGATGAGCCTCGCTGCCATCATTCTGTATGACTTCCAGGACAGAAAGTTCCTCCCACGGGAGCGCCCAGTGGAAGAGGAGATCATACAGGAAGTTAGAGATGTGGAGAGCTACCTCCTCAGGTAAGGAAAGAAAAATAACAAGGAGGAAGAAAAAGAACCAAAACCTGGAGTGGAATTATAAAAGAGTGTACAAATTGAGAAAGTGATATAGTCAAGGTATAAAAAATCTTTTTCGTTTGTGTGTGTTTTATTTAGATTTAAAACCAAGCTGGCAGCTTCTCTAGCTCGCTGCAGGATCAAACATGATGTCTCGTCCATTGAGTGTATCCTGCCGGAGAGTGTCAAAACGAAGCAGGAGAGATCGAGCAGCCTTCCACTTTACACATGGGTTAACACGCTGAAGAGCAGGTCAGCCGAGGACAAATAGACATACTGTACACACTGTAAAACTAGTGTTAGTACACACTCAGAAGCACATGACATACACCAGTACATGCGTACCAGTACATAAACACAGGAATGCACTGTAAGCATATATAGAGTGTGTGCAAATACTGCACACACACGTACACACCCCTAGATCTACACATAGACCTTTAACTTGGGGTGCTGCCCAATATTTTATGGGCCAGGTGCCCAGCTGACATCCAATTAAACCACCAGACAAGTGGGTGTGTGTATGTGTGAATAATTGTGTCTATGTGTTTGGGTGTGTGTATGTGTGTGCGTGTGTGTTCTTGCAGGCGCCCCGACAGGCTGATTCAGTTAGGTGTAAATCCTGCTGCTGTGGACAGATTCAATCAGCAACAACCCTCAGCAAGCTCTGGGATTGTAAAGGTCACCTGTTGGGACTAGTGGTGTGTGTACATGTGTGTGTGTCAATGCTTTTAACAGCCCATATAACTATTAAAGTCTTTCAAAAGGCCACTTAATAATTCTACGCACTATTATTATCTACGATGACAGTCTTCCTCTTCCTCCCACCTCTAATCGTTTTCCCTGTGTCCCTCATCCCTTTCACTATTCTCCTCTCCTCTCTCCTCCTCTCTTTTGGTTCCAGTCGTAATGAGGTCCAAAGTGTGCTCAAGAATGCTGGCTTCTCGCAGGTGAAATCAGTTGGGCAGCTACAGGGCCAGACCTTTTGCCAGGATCCCCATTGTGGAGATGTGCTGGTGTTCCCTGCTCAGCTCAAAGCTCAGCTGTACGCCACCAAGCTGCTTAGCAACCACAAGCTCATCATCCAGGTACAAGCTGCTGCATGGAGAGAGTAGATTCCTCTGTGTACTTTAATATCAACCTCGTCTGATATTTATAGTAATGGACTTACTCATATTGATTATAAGCCTGAGATCCCTAATGCCAACTGAGATTAGTTTGCCCAGATACCAATATTTCACATCACTTCCTCTCATTTAACTGCACTTTGCTTTGGGTTCTCCATTTTGGGAGGGGGAGAGAGATTTAATCATTTAATTTCTTCTCCATTAAAGTCAAGCTGCCATGCAAACTGTAAGCAACACACAGTGCCACAACACAATTAAATTTGATTTTCCAGCCAGATTTAATCAAATATTCAACACCACTGCCCAGTTAATCACCTCTCCAGCTCTCCATTTCTCCTCTCTCATATTTTACAAGTCTTTGCCGTTATTATGTTCTTTTCAAATGTTGTTCTTCCATCCATCATATCTAGTTTGTTTTTTCTGACAAACCCCATCATTTGTCATAACTATAAAATCTCAGTACAGCCCACTGGTTCCACAGGGATAAGCTCAGCACCATTTATAGAGGGGACTCCACCGATTGAAGGACAAGGGACTTGTTGTAAACTGACTGACCGTTACGCTCATTCTTTGTCCGCATTTCTCTTTTGATCTGTTTTCTTTGCAACAGCTGCTCCAAACACCCTCATCTATTCTCGTCTCAGTTCTGTTGACCATTATCACACAGTATCTTCATAACTCTCTCTTATCTTAGTTTTATGTCTCATCAGGGTTACTGAGAATGTCTAAAAGTCTCAGGTTGAAATCTGTTGCTCGTTATACTAATATAATGCTTTTACTCAATCTGTGTGTAGGACAAGTCATGTAGCCTGGGCCCAAATGCAGTGTGGTCCATGTTACCAGAAGAAGGAGATGTTCTAATGGTGGGCTGTTTCTCTGGCCGCACTGTCTCCCACAGTGCTTCTCTAATTGCTGAGAAGCATAAAGCCAACAGCAACAACCAGCCCATAGTCTACGTCTGTGTCAGCAATCATACAGACACTCAGAGGGAAGAGCTACAGCAGGCTGTGTCCACCATGGGCTGTAAAAGTAGGGACAAACTGGATGTGACTATGAGAGTGTTGTCACAGTCTGTTTATGTCTTTATATAAGAAGCAAAGGAGAAGATGCAGAAAGAAATGGAAGCAGAAAAAACAACTGTCATTAACTGTCTACCTTGTCTCCTTATGTCTGATGCCTATGGAGATGCCTATGGAGTCATGGAAACTTTGTTTCCATGACTTCATAGGCATCTTTGTCTTAAGAGGAGGGGAAACTAAACTGTGTCTGTTGGCTTTGCCGCAATACTACACTATATTTTCAAAGTTATAGCCACTTTGGAAAATTCACTATTATAGTAGACCAACTACAGCAACAACTGGGAGTATTTAGACAGAGAGCTTTGTGTAAAAATGTGTCATTTGTTGTTTCCCTGAGACACTTACATGTTGCCAGTGTACTTTAAAATCAGACAGTGTGTTCTGAGATTCCAGCCTATATGTAACTATTATTTTCTGACAGTGGCTGCTACGTCAGCTTCTCATTAGGGAAACAGTTAAATGCATATGACAAAGTTGACATTTTTATAATTGCAAATGATACTACCTTCAGGCTGGGAATTCTTCTGCAAAAATGTACATATAGTGGGACCGTGTGATCAAAATTTAAGCTTTGAGCAAAGGTGTATTTCTATTTATGTGGTTATCATTACACTGTATGTTCTCTTACTCAGATGTGAAGCTGATATCTGAAGTCTTCCAGTCTCTGAATGGCAGTGACAAGCGACTTCAGAAGGTGCGCGTTATCCTGTTGACTCCGAGGTGTTCTGTGTCTGCGGTCAGCAACCCGGTCGAATACATACTGCAAGAGGATGGAGGTACATAGCGATGTGCATACAAAGAGCTATAAAGTCTGGAATTCAAAACTACACATCATAACCTAGTCTAGGTTACACCCTGTTGTGTCCAAACTGAAACAGAACAGGGGTACAGGAATATTCTGTATGTTACAGTAGTTACAAAACTCAGGACGCTGTGTGTACAGTGTACTCACAACATTCTGACTTCATACTGTACTAGAAGATTACAATGAGGACACAGTCAAAACTTATGCAGGTTTCTAACATGGCACAGTTCTTGCTACTAAAAGTGTGTTGTCAAAATATGGAAGTAAGTGCGTAAGAGCAACAGTTTCATTTTATGTTTTAAATAAAAATGCACTAGGATTTAAAAGTGAAGTTTTAATCAACTAGTTTTAAGGTTCATTGCAGCAGAATTTAATCTCAGTTAGGGATTTAATTCATTAATATAAAATAGAACAATTTTACATTATGCATACATATGATATATCCATACATACATAATTACAGTTTTACAACTGTGTCACAAAGGTCCCCATTACTTGATAACTTCTTTGTGTTTAAGCTGAAGATTAAAAGCATTATGATGTCCATGTCCATTTCTTCCATTTTATTGCTGTGTTTTAAAGGTAATTCTTGATGATCCATCCACAGTCCTCTCACAGGCTGCCCCTCTAACCAACTTGTCAAACTAGTCCCATCCATCTACATACGTGGATGTCATTTAGATTAGAGTTGCTTAAATATAACCTCTACTCACACACAAAGCAGTTAATAAAACTGAGATTCTGCTCTTCTGAAATGTTTCTGCATTTTCTCAGACACAGATCTGCTACAGGACTTATCCCAGGGCTCAATAGCCCAGAGCAAACTGAAAGCTCTGGTGGCCCAGCAGAGGAAGGATATTGATCATGCTTTGACATGTGAGTGTACATACACACACCCACTTAGACACACACCATGTGATCTCAGTTTGCTTCTCTCACCTCTCTGACATAATGAAGCTGATACTTTTTAATTATCTAATCTCGTATGCCATTAGCCTGAAGCCTGCGATATCCCTGGGAGATGGTCTGAGTCTTAATCAGGAATGCTAATGTTGCTCTACGCTGGTCA